GACCCCACTCCCCTCCCAGAGCCAGGGACGAGAACCCAGGAGTCCTGGCTCCCAGCTCCCCCTGCTCTAACCACTAGACCCCACTCCCCTCCCAGAGCCAGGGACGAGAACCCAGGAGTCCTGGCTCCCAGCTCCCCCTGCTCTAACCACTAGACCCCACTCCCCTCCCAGAGCCAGGGAGAGAACCCAGGAGTCCTGGCTCTCAGCCCCCTTCTCTAACCACTGGACCCCACTCTCCCCTCCCTAGTGAAAGAACCCAGGAGTCCGGTCACTCTCCCTCCCCCTCCCCATCTGGAATTTGTGGGGTTCACTGACCCAGAGTGGGGGGGTCTCTCTCCCTTCTCCTCCCCCCAGGCAAGACTCCAGTCAAACATCTCAAATCCCACTTCGGAGGAGCTGATTCACTTCCTGTTTGGCCCCCTGAAAATGGTGAGTGGGGGGTTGGGGGGCAGAAGTGGGGGGGGGCTGCCCTAGCCCCAGCTGTGGGGCTTGGAATTGCCAGTGCTGGGGTTGGGGGGGAGGCGGAGGGGCCTGCGTGAGCTGGGGTTGTGGGGGAGACCCTGGCTTGGGGGGGGGGCTGAAGTGGCCAGGAGCAGGACTGGAGGGGTTGGGGGGAACATGGCGGGGGCTGGGCATCTGGGGACTCTGAGCTGGGGGGTTAGGGGAGGAGGGGACCGCAGGGTCTGGAGTTGTGGGGATCCGGGGGTGGGAGGATTGGGGGGAGGGATCCCAGCATGGGGGGGCTTCGTGAGGGTTGTGGCTGGAGGGGGGAAATTGGTGTCTCCTTGGAAGGGCTGGGGGGTGTTGGGGGATCTGGGGGGATGGAAGGGAGATAGCGGGACGCTGGAAGGGGTAGTGGGGGGTCTCTTGCTGACCCTGGTCGAGGGGGGGGCCTGGGATCCGGGGGTCTCTCTCACCTCTCCCTGTTCCCTCTCCCCCCCAGGTGGTGGAGTCGTCGGGGGGCCCAGAGTTCGCCAGCGAGATCCGCTCCCCCATGCTGACCCTGGAGGCCGTCACCCTGCTGCGGGGCTGCCTGGGGGCCCAGGAGGCCAAGCTGTGGGGCTCGCTGGGCGACAACTGGACCCGGCCCCGGTACCTTGCTCGCCCTGGGGCTGGGGGGGGGGGCGGGGCGGGGCGGGAGCAGAGCTGGGGCGCTGCTTTTGGTTCTCCATGATGTCTGCCCAAGATTGTGTCCGGCTCTGCCAGGCGTGGGATCTGCCCCCGAGTGCTTGATTTTTCACCCACGATTCCACTGGTTTGCCTGTGATTTTCACCCATGATTCTGTGATTTTCACCCACGATTGTTGTCCATGGTTCCTTCATTTTCACCCATGGTTCAGTAATTTTTTACCCATGATTGTTGTCCATGATTCCTTGATTTTTCATCCATGATTCCACGTTTTGCCCATGGTTTTCACCCATGATTGTTGCCCACAGTTCCATGGTTTTTGTCCCTAATTCTGTGATTTTTTTACCCATGATTGTTGCCTGTGATTCCTTGATTTTTCACCCATGATTCCATGTTTTGTCCATGATTTTCACCCATGATTCTGTGATTTTTCATCCATGATTTTTGCCCCAGGGCATCTTGATTTTTTTCACCCATGATTCCACTGGTTTGCCCGTGATTTTCACCCATGATTCTGTGATTTTTCCACTCATGATTCTGTGATTTTTCACACACGATTGTTGCCCGTGATTCCTTGATTTTCATCCATGATTCCACATTTTGCCCATGGTTTTCACCCATGATTGTTGCCCAGGGTTCCTTGATTTTCACCCATGATTTCACCCCCAATTTCTGCCCGTTGATTTCTGCCCACGATTCCTGGATTTCGCCATGGTTCCAACCATCCGTGGTTCTGTCTCTCCCCACAGGGTGGAGTTCCCCGGGGACTATGCCACCCCTTATACCCTGACCTTCCAAAGCGGTTGGGTCCCGCCCCGCCTGGGCCCCGATGGGCAGCCCTGGGAGGATCCGGTGGAGACCCAGCACCGGCATGAAGTGCGCCGGGCGCAGGTGACTGGCATGGGGGAGAGGTGACCCCTCATCAGATGAGGGCAGAGGGGAGTGTGGGGTGGGGAGGAGGCAGGTGTGGGGGGCAGGTGTGGGGGATGGGAGCAGGAACATGGGGTGTGGGGGGGGAAGGTGGGGATTGGGGGAGCACAGTGGGGGGAGGGGTGACTAGAAAATGGGGGTAAGAGAGATCAGAGGGTGGGAGGTGGGGGCAGAGGGCTGGGGGGTGCAGTGGGGTATGGGGAGAGTTGTGTGGGGGGGTCACAGCAGGGAGGTCGCTCTCCCCCCACTCACTCCATTCCCCCCGCTTCTTTCTGCAGCAATCGGCTCCTCCAATCGAAGCCAATGGGTACGTAACCCCCCGCCTGTGTCCCCCCCCACGCACACTGCCCCTTCCCCCCCCACAAGCTGTCCTCACCCCCATGCATGGGGGGCAGGTGGGAGGGGGGTGCAGGGGCTCAGAGAGGCCGGGGGGGCTGTGGGGGGAAGGAACTCGGTGCAGGGAGGTTGGGGGGATCCCAGAGTGGGAGGGGGATGTGGGGGACGGAGCTGAGGTTGGGGGGGTCGAGGGGGTCATTTCAGCTGAGGAACCTAAAAAAGGTCTTTTTCTTTGTTTTCTCTCTTTGTTTCTCTTTTGTCTGGGGGGGGGCAGGTGGG